GTATCCCAACGGAATTTGTTGAGGCATCCAAGCTAGGTGCTCTTGACCTTTCTTCTAACCACTTGAATGGAAAGCTTCCAAAGGAATTGGGGAGTATGAAATCATTAATTCAACTCAAGATTAGCAATAATCATCTTGTAGGAAACATTCCAACAGAAATTGGGTTACTGCATAACCTTGTAGATTTGGATTTGGGAAATAACAATTTCAGTGGCACAATACCAATAGAAGTTGTGGAGTTACCGAGGTTACAAAACTTGAATTTGAGCAAAAACAAAATTGATGGAAGCATTCCCTCTCAACTTAGTCAAACTTTGGCATCTATTGATCTTAGTTCCAATTTATTGAGTGGAATAATACCATCAACTCTTGGAGGGTTGCAATTCTTGTCAATGTTGAATCTCTCACATAATAGTCTTTCTGGCACCATTCCTTCCACTTTTAGCAAGACATTAGATTTTGTCAACATATCAGACAACCAATTGGAAGGGCCACTTCCAAACAGTCCAGCTTTTCTTCATGCTTCAATTGACTCATTGAAAAATAACAAAGGCTTGTGTGGCAATGTTCCAGGCTTGATTCCATGTCCAACCAACCATAATCGAAAAAGCAACAATGTCATTATGGTGGTGTTCCTCATTTTAGGAAGTGTGATACTAGTTTTGTGTGGGGTGGGATTTTTAATGTATACTTTTCATTGTAGTAAAAGAAAAGAAGAAAGTCATTCTGAAGAAGCACCAAAGGAAGTGCTCTTTTCTATATGGAGCTATGATGGAAAAATGATGTTTGAAAACATCATCGAAGCTACAGAGAATTTTGATGACAAATATCTCATTGGAGCAGGAAGTCAAGGATATGTTTACAAGGTGCAGTTTTCTACAGGTTTGGTTGTTGCAGTGAAAAAACTTTATTCAGTGATAGATGAGGAAATGTCAAATTTTAGTTTCAAGGCTTTTGCAAGTGAGATTCAAAACTTGACAGAAATCAAACACAGAAACATTATAAAATTGCATGGATTTTGCTCACATTCACAGTTCTCATTCTTGGTTTATCAATTCTTGGAAGGGGGTAGCTTGGATCAAATACTTAATAATAATACACAAGCAATTGAATTTGATTGGGAAAAAAGGGTGAATGTTGTTAAAGGTGTGGCCAATGCTTTATCTTATTTGCATCATGATTGTTCCCCTCCTATAGTTCATCGTGACATATCAAGCAAGAATGTTCTTCTAGATCTTGAATATGAAGCTCATGTCTCTGACTTTGGGACAGCTAAGTTTCTAAAGCCAGGTTCACGTAGTTGGACCCAATTTGCAGGCACCTTTGGGTATGCTGCTCCAGATTAGACCCTTCTCCCTCATATTTACAAATGCAAATAGTGGCATTATTTTTCATTCACACCACTTTTTTACACTAAAATTTTGTATAGGGATTGATTCATCCATGCAAGAATTGGACTAATCCTAATGGTAGGGCTAGTGAAATATGAAAGTGGTGAAAACAAGTTTTGTATAAATAGCATGATCCATTAGAAAACACAAGCTACTCTACTTGATTATACATAATATAACTCAATATTTTATTTATTTATTTGTCTGCAGAGTTGGCTGAGATAATGGAAGTGAATGAGAAATGTGATGTTTTTAGTTTTGGTGTACTTGCTTTGGAAATCATAATGGGAAGACATCCAAGAGATCTCATTTCTCAATTTATGTCACCATCTTTGGCTCAAATTGCAAATGATTTACTACTAGTTGATGTGTTAGATCAAAGACCTCCTCAACCTACAAAGCCAATTGATGCAGAGGTGATCTTGGTTGCAAGGTTAGCATTTGCTTGCTTGGATAAAAATCCACGTTCTCGACCAACCATGGATCAAGTATCTAAGACACTTGTAGCAGGGAAATCACATTTGCCTGATCAATTTTCCATGATTAGATTAGGACAACTGTACTAAAAATCATTGTAACATGCAAGTATTTTGTTTCCTTCTTATTCTTCTCTGTACCCCATCCTTCTTTCCCTTGCATATTGTAAGCTTCCTTGCTTTGTTCATTGTATATATAATGTACTCAATTTAAAAATACTATTTTGTTAGTTTAAAAAATATTATAAGTAAAACAAAGTAAAATAAAATGAAAATGTTTTAAAAATTAAAAATAATAATTATGAAAAGGATTTCATCTCTGAGTAATAATAACTAATTTTTTGGGTTGTGTTATATTAGATGAATTAAATATAGAATAATTACTTACAACTTACACCACGCTTAATTGAATAACAAACTTAAATCCACTGGGTACCATTTTAACATCAAAGATTTTAGCTATACCATTATCATTCCCTATGCTTAACTGGGCGACCAGAAAAATTATCCAAAATCTATTGCAATCAGAAAAAAGAACCAAAAAGCCAAGAGGTAAGACCCAGCCTTGTAGAAACTCCAATTCAGTAACAAAGTGAAGATGCTAAAGGAGAATTGGGTAAGTGGGTTTCTTTTGGGCTTAGGTCATTAGTCCATATGAGTAGGCATAATGGAAGGAAATTTTATGTCCAAAGTTATTCTTTTCAGAGAAAAAAAAATAGTACGACCAAATGAAAAACAGAAACATATATAGAAACTTCTGGAGGTTTTAGTTAATCAAGATTGTTGACCAAAAGAAAGTAAATGAAGATTAAGGTACAAAGCCATGTTATTATTATATGAGAGTTTAATTTTTAGCTAATTTATTTTTAAAAATTCATTATAATTGATGCTAAAATATTAAAATATATACAAAAATCTTGAATGGAAAATACTAAGAAGGCAGAAAAAAGTATCCACTACTGAATGAAAGGAAAACATATATATAAATTTAGCTGATCGAGTTGGATTAGACCGGATCTGTAGTGCTATCAGGTCCTGAAAGCAAGTCTATTGGAAACTAAGTACCACAAGTTTTTGGTCGTACTTAAAAACATTAGAATTTAATGAACATTATTGATTAAAACTTGCAAACCATAAGCTAGTAGTGAACTTGCAAATATTTTAAAAAATTTTATTGGTTATTTTTACTTTGGTAAAAAATTTACAATTGTTTGTATTAACAATGTCTTAAAGGTGGTTAACTATACCTATTCAACACAGTTATTATGAAATTACCATGTCACGTTAGCTTGCTGGGGACTATATAGGGGTGGTTGTTGGAATGGCATTTTGAATTCATTAAACCATATTGCCAAAGAAAGTAAAGTAAGGAGCCACTATACTTTTTCTTTACATATTTTTATTCCTATCAAAATTTTCATTTTCACTTTACTTTTTGGTGGGTGTGAAAAGATCATAAAATATGGAAGGACTATTTAACAACAGGCCAAACAAAAACATACGATCCTTAAAACACAAATTATATAGGTCAATATTATTTATATATTACTCAATTTATCATTTTTCATTCAACGTAAATTTCCTTTCTCACGGTTGAGATTTCTAACAATTTTGTAATCCCATTTTGTTATTTATTTAAATTTTTTAAAATGTACGTGCCTTATATACAATTCTTTTATTTCAAAAGTAGCCTCTTCATAAATAAGAATATCATTAGACAGAATGTCATAACAATTCCCATCAAAAGGATCACTGAACGATAAAAGCAACAAAGTCTTTTAGCACTTCTATGAGATTCTAAAATACACACCTACAAACACATAAGGTGAACAGTAGGGTCGATGGGGTGAGAAAAAGATTTCAAATAGTATAAATAACTAAGAAGAAATAAGGTTATAATAATTGTATTCTTCTTTATGCTGATACCGATGGAGGTGTCATGTCATTTTCTGTAAAAAGAATGTTGAAAGTTGAATTCCTAGTCGACTAGTACGCTAGAAACAAATTCACAATTGCATAAGTTAATATCAATAATTAGCAGTAGCTGATTTGAATGTGATCTACATTCAAAGCATGACCTTCATTATTGAGCAAAGTAATATAGCAGCGAAAAAATGTGGCCAATAAGGGGGCAATTTATGCTTTAAGTCATGAGTCACTCTTTTGATATATTTTTTAAATCGAATTTCTCATCTTTTTTTTACCTTTTCTTTTTCTGACCTGCATACAACATTATATATATAGGTATATTTGATAGTTGACATCACTTGTAATGAGTTTAACTCCAGAATATTAAATTCATTTGTTAACTAAGTAAACACTTAAAAGTAAAACATATAAATGCATCCATGATTATGCTAAATAATGAATAATAATTAACTAAATGTATCAAGTTTAGATTTTCGATATGCCTTTAATTAACTTGATTATCTTCGATGACACCAATTAAGTTTTGTGAATAATCACCTTTCAAAAGGTACAGTAACTTTCGTACATGGATAAAAGTAAGATAGGGTAAGGTTATATTCTTTAAAGTATTTTTTTTAACATGTTATTAACATTTTTCAAAAGATAATTTGTATGATTCAATCTATCCACTGCTTAAACTTTTTAAAGATTTCTTGCATAGTGAGAAGCTTGAGATGATAAACATGATTGAATGTTATTATTAGGGTTATAAAACGGGGATACAGTCGTTATACCTCGATTACGGTAGTTGAGATTTAAGACTGAAAATTAAATATAAAAAAATCAAAGCTAAAGTTCGAGAGAATTAAAGAAAATTTAAACATAAAATGAAATATAAAATTAACTATTAGTTTAAAATATAAAAAAGTGTTAAATAATGATGAGAGAGAGAGAGAGAGAGAGAGTACAATAAATTCATATTTAAGAATAAAAACTTAAATTTATAAAATACGTTTTAATTTAAGAATTCATTGGTAGAGATTTTCTTCCTAGAATGATTTAGAATACGAGAATACAGTCAAATTCTTGGCATTTTTCACCAAGAAATTTCTAAAATTGCACTAGAATAAAAACATACATTACACAAAGATTACGCCACAAGCATATTGTCCATTGCACCCACATTTGAAGTGAGAGATTACACAAGATACAGATTTTCCCTCCCACATCTTCCTTATTACTAAACATACATTACTACGATACTCAAACAACGAAAAAGAAAGAAAAAACCGAACACAATCATCATATATATCATAAGATATCCTACAGTCAAACTCACATTTAAATATGCATCGACAATAATACGATATCCTAATAAACACAAGGGTAATTTTCATTTGCGCTTAACGGTAATAGGACTCCTCACTACGTGCTTTCCGTTTGTCCATTGCAAATCTCCGAATTGATATTCTCCACGCTTAATTGCACTCTTTGCTTGCACAATTACTTGGAATGTCTTTTTTTCACCTACTTTCTTAAAAGTCAAGGAATTTGGTACAACAGCAATGTTATGAGCCGGCAATTGAGCTTTTGCATTGTATGTACTTGGAGGCCCAACATTTGTCACCGTACGAGTAATGTTTACGGGTTTTAACCCAAGATTTGGCAGGGTGATTGAAGGGTAGTTCAAGTCCGTTACCCTGTGAGATCCAGAACAGATGAATGTTCTGTTGAAATTGAGTGCAGAAATGAGTTGTTGATCGTATCCAGAAGCACATAAGAAGTTCAAGTAATCTGTAAGGGTTAGATCATAAACAAGTCCAGGGTCTATTGCAAGGTCAGGTCGAACATGTCCTGAACCGTAAGCAAACGGAGTTGCAAGCTTTTTATCAAACGCATCCCTTATTGGCTTGTTTGTGTTGTCAAGTTTGGTTGCTGGAATGATATATATAGTTAAACAAGTTAGAATTTAGTAATTTCAGTAATAAATAAATAAAATTAAAAGACATGCATGTATTATATCATAGAAACATCTTCACACTGAATTAACTATATTAGGCATCAAATTTTGTAATATAATACTATTTTATAAAAAAATAACTTTTTTAATAGAATCATGTTATGTTGGTCCTGCTTAATTTAATCGATATATAATACATGTATATTAACCAAACATTTAATTACTTTTATTTTATAAGATATATTATACCTAAAAATAAATTAATGCGAAAAGAGATCAATTATTTTTTAAATCATCGGAAATTTTATAAATTTCATCTATATAAATTAATGCACCTGTGGTCATGATTGCTGATTTAATAGCAGCTGGACTCCAATTAGGATGAAGTGTTCTGAGAAGTCCAGCAATGCCAGCGACATGAGGGCTTGACATGGAAGTTCCTTGCAATACATTGAATGGAAACCCTTTACGAGTGTCTGATAGCAAGTTGGATGCACTTGCAACGAGTGAATACGCAGCAAGTATGTTCACACCGGGCGCAGTTACATCAGGCTAAATCACAAAAACAAGTCGCATTGAACTTTGAATACATTATAAAGAGTATACATATACATTATAAAAAGTCTCGTTAACTTATCAAGTATCTAAAGAAAATAAAAATTAAATCAATTTATATTTCTTTATTTTTTTAAAAAAAAAACTCTTGTAATTAAGTTCTTTAAAACTTGAGAGGTGCTACAATTGTTTCAACTCATAAAAAAATTATGTATTTTATCTATTTATTTTATTATTTTATAAGTATTTTCAAAAGTTCAGATAATAAAAAAAATTCAATACTAGTGTGCGTGCACCTTGAGTATTGATGGCTGAATCCTATTGGGTCCTCTAGATGAAAATGAAGCCATAACTGGAGCTGGCCTTCTTCCGAGCAATGTCTTTGCTGGGGACATTCTTATTGAAGCACCTGTGTCTATAGGATCCCTGCAATGTAAACATAATGTGTGTATAAATGGAAACCTTCATTTGCAACATGTCATTTTAAAATGTGATAATTTTTAAAAGGTAGATGAATGATATATAATTACGTGGCTGTTATGTCAAAATCACTAGGTGTTGAAGTTATAGCATAATCACGACTAGCTGGAGGCTTCGTAGGTGATCTAGCCTTAGGCATATAATTTATAGTGGACAAAACATGAGGTTCAGCAAGAAGTGTGTTCCCATTTTGCTTTTGATTGCCCAAAACCATTCCCTTTGCGCCAGAAGATAGTGCTTCCTGACCCTCAGCAACTGATTTTATTTTTCCTTCTCGGGTACATGCCACTATTTTCCCATTTACTTTTCTAGGATCAAGTGTTCCAGCCCTACATAGTTGACTGCAAGAACATACATACAATTATACACATAAGAATGTGATGAGAAACAAACATTATTTAAGCAAGGTAATAGTGGTATTATGAAGAAAAGCTTTTGAGATTTGTGCTTACGCATCTCGATTTGTCGCATTAGCAAGCTTAGCATCGATGGCAAGGATAAGAGAAAAGGCTTGATTAGGTGGCAAGTTTACAAAAAGACTGGCCCCCTGGTATCATACAAATTGCATTAGGCCTGTTTGTAGTCCCTAGCTTTTCCTAACTTCTCTTTTTAAATAAATTATTTCTTATTTTATTTTATCTCTCTCTCTATTATGTGGACAGTGGCATGCAGTTTTATTGCGATTTTTGTGTGAATAAACTTCGTATCCTTTAGCATTTGCCTCCCTATTACATCAAATATCATATTTTTACTTTCTCTTTCATTTATTTTTATCTCTGTCTTCTTTATATCAAAATAATATCACATAAAGGTATCACCACCGATTTTAAAAACTCTGAAAAATTAAACTAACATATTAAAAAAGGAAAAGAAGAATAAGGATAATACCATGATTTGATTGTTACCAACAGTTATAGTACCGCTGAAATCCCTGTCTAAAGTGCTAGCAGCAATTGTGAATACCCAGGGAGCCACATTAACAACACTTCCACGAGTTGGTCCATCATTCCCTGCAGAGGCTACTAATAATATATTTTTGGCAATTGCATGGAATGCACCAATAGAAACCTCATCAGTGAATATTCCTTCAGGAGTGACAAGGTATTGACCACCAGCAGAAAGATTAATAACATCAACACCATCACTAATGGCTTGATCAATAGCAGCTAACACATCAGCACCAAAACAACTAGCTGCATCGGTTGGAGACCAGCACACCTTGTAGGCTGCAACTCTAGCTCTTGGGGATCCACCCTTTGCTGTGCCATTACCATTACCAAATACACTTGCACCTGCCACAAAATTTCCACCAGCTGTTGATAGAGTATGAGTACCATGGCCTACAAAGTCACGGGCTGTGTATTGCGATTGGTGAAGCTTGCCATAATATGCTTCATAAGCTTTGCTGAAGAATCTAGCTCCAATTAATTTCCTGTTTATGGAGCTTTGGAATTATTAGACAGATGGAGGAATCTTAATGGAAAGATCGAAAGTACATATTCCCGAAGGAAAATTATAGGTTAGCATTTTATGTGGGTGTCTAGTGGGAAAAAAGTGATCGATAATGTGATAGCACTAAAAAATTAAGTTTAAACTTAATATATCTAATAGATAAAAAGATAAATAAAAAAATTATAAGTAGAAAATTACATGAATAAAATTATAATTTTAACGTGTAATTTAGCATGTAATAAATTAGAGCACTATGCGTACAACTTTTTTGTGAAATATTTTGTATTAACATAATTAAAGTGTTCTTCTTATCTTCATATGGGCCGATTAATAAATAAATAACAACTTAGGGTTATTTCGGGTGGTTTTAATTTTAAAAATTTTCAAAATTTAAAATTAGAAACCAATACAAAGAGGTCACAGAGTATTAAAAAGCCTGTGGTATTTATTCAAATATAAAAGTAAACTATTTAATATATAATGGAAAAGCTTCAAAGGAAGTGTTAAAACTTAAAAGAGAACAAGTAACCTGTTGCAAGGATTTCTCTTGGAACCACGCAGTTTGTTAATTTCACAGACCTTACCCCCACCCCATTTTGATGGAATGGGGCCGAATCCTGTATCACTGAAGCTCTTGGATTCAGGCCAAACACCTGTTTCAGGGTGAAATCAAGATTTAAGAAAAATTGTATTATTTATTCATAAATTTCTTTTGTAACAGGCTTAACTAAGCTTTGATGGCAATAAAATTTATTACATTTGCATTTAATTTTAAAAAATATTAAAGTTTAATCTGTAACAAATTAAACAAGTAAAAACATCAATTCTCTATAAGTAAATAACTATATTATATAGCTAACAGAATTAAGTGATAAATTGAGTATCGAAATTTTAATTTACTGCTACCATATGTCATTACTCAATAGACATTATACTGAAATATATTTTTAAAAATACTCTTATGTGCATGTCAGTGTTATTAATTAAATTAATAACTTGGTGAAGATAGTGGGTCACTGGTTGAACCGGTAAAATTAAAATACATTTATAAAACAAATAAAATATAAATGTAGATATTAAAATAGTTGCCATTTAACTATTAACTTGCAGTGGCTTAGTGGTTAACAATAATAACGCAGAAAAGGTGCAGTAAGTTGTAGAGTTTACCTGTGTCAATGGTGCCGATTATTGTATTTTCGCCGTATCTTCCCTTTTGCCAAGCAGTGTTCCCAGCATTTCTGCGTAGTCCAAGAAATTCCCATGACCGAGTAGTGTGTAGTTTATGTTCTTTGCTCAAGAACACAGACACTACATCTGGGTTTTCTGCTCCATTTGAAACATCGTTTCAAAGTTTGAAACATAATTCAAATGACGAAAAAACAGTTTAAACACTATTGGAAGATGTCAATGGAAGAATGCTTACTTGCAATATCTGCTGCTTCTTCCTCTTCAAGAAGTGCAGCAAAACCATTGATGTGTCTGTTGTATGAGTAAATAATTGCTGCTTTGGCTTTCTCCTGGCTGCGACAGAATAATTAATGCGTATGTCTATAGCTAAAATTATATCCATCATCATATTCTTCTGACAGAATATGATCGTTTTAACTGTTCAAGTTTAAAGAATAATTCATAATCCTTGGATAAAATTTTCCTAATAAGGGTTATTGTTTCTTAAATAACGAAAATATTGAATATGTTTATAATTTTTTAAGATATGAGAGGTACTTATCCTAAAAATAATAATATGAAATATACTTTTTTATTCACTACCTTTTTGTACAGTATTAGATAATATAACATCTACTATGATGGAATTGACCGTAAAGATTTTTACGTTGCCATGATATTTATGTTGACACTAAATAAAAAAGGTAACACTTGTTAAACATAGTAAGTACAGCAGTCAGCATTCTTCAATGATATGATAGTACTATATATTTGGCTAAGAATAAAAAAATACACATAATAAATAAATAAATCCATGATTTCATACCTTCCCAAAACAGAACCTAGTAAATCATAATGTGAATACGTAGCAACTTCAAGGTCAACAGACGTAGGGCTGGGACCATGAGAATGTGCTCCCAAATATATTATGTAACACTGTAAACAAAACCAACAATTGGTAAAACAATGGGAACGTCGGCAACATCACCAGCAAATCATCATCACAATTTCAAGATATTGAAACTTTGTAAAATAAGTAATTGGACAAACGACTATGCCTTTTTGGTGCCATGGACAGGTTCCAGCAAGAAAGTGAAAAGAAAAATTGATGAAACAATAAGGTGAAGGGATAAAATGGTGCTGCCCATGCTTTTCATGCATGTGGTCTTTAGTAATTGCTTGGTAGGCATAGTTATATATATATATATATATATATATATATATATATATAGGTCATGTCTTTAACTATAATCTCTTACTACTCTCTCTTCACAATTGGTCTTTGGGTAGTGCTTGAGAAAGCTTTTGCTTTTCCAAATGTAATGAAGGAGACAAACGAACTTTTTCTTTTTTGTTTTTCTATCTTTTCCAAAGTTTCTAAGCTGTATTCACTTTCTTCCGCACTTCTTCATTATTACTTTCGAAATGCAAGCTTCTAGAGTGTAAGTATGCATAATTTGGTCGGCAAAAGCATCCTTTACATAAAACAAAATAACTATATTTGCTAATCTTAAGTAGGCTGAGTATATGGAGAAAAAAATAGTTACTTCAAACAGTAAAAAAAAAATAGAAATGTTAACAAGTTGAATTAGGTTTAACCAAACCAAAATCAACCAAACTCGATTATGAATATATTAGTTTGAGTCTGGTAATTGAATCCATACATGAAAAATAAAAATATTTTTATAAAATATAAAATCAAACAATTATTAAATTAAATTAGATTAATATATCAATATTTATGTAAAAAAATGTCTTGATTTATGCTTAAATAATAAATTATTTATCAAAAACTACATTTAAAAACACACATTGATCTATAGTTAAATACAAGACCATGGTCATAAACAAAATTGTCCCCGTTCCACCGCAGTCTACTACAAAAGATGAATCTACTAAACATATCAATGAGCACATTTGTACACCCCTTTATACCTCCACAATTGTGTGTTCACTTCGGAGAGACTCTTATTCTAATTGAAGTTTATTTCAATTTCAATCAAGATAATTTAATAGTAGTACATGCACATTCACATTTTGACACTTCTAATAAGTGATAGTTTTATCAAGTGTGTCATGGTTACAGTGTCAAATATACTAAATGACAAATCTACCAACACCAATATAAAGAAAAAATTATTTTGTTTTAATTAAATTTCCATTAACTTAAACATTGAAATGTTTCTTGTAAGAATATTATCTTTAGAGATCACTAGAAAAAAATCGTTAAAAGCTACTTTCAGCTTTCAAAATCATCAATATTAAGAGCATAGATCAAAACCTAATTTTTAGTACTGTTCATACATAAAAATAATAAAATACAAATATTATAAATTATTTAATTTTTTTAAAAATGTAATCGAGTTAAGTTTACTAAGTTATAAATATTATCCAACCTAACTCGTTAATTTTAGTTTAGATTAAGTTGAATTTGTAAAGTTAATTAATTTTACTCGACCATGAACAACTTCAATTTTATTTTATTTTTAAATTTATCTTCTTAATAATAAAATATGTCATATTAAACCCAATTTTAAAGAAACTCTTGTATAAAAGAAAAACATTTTTTTTTAACGAATGAAAAGGAAAGAACTTCTATAAATTTTATTAGAGATGCTTTTACTTCTCTATTTTGAACATGTGATTGTTTCTTCCTTCTCTTCTTTAAACTTTAGACATGAGTTCAGTTTAGGAAAAAAAAAAAAACTATAACCCAAACAAATCAAATGAAGTAAACTAATACCCAAACTGAAAATTAATGAAATATAGGTTGGTTCAGTCGGGATTTATTTGTTGATAAAAAATTAATTAAAAAGAATATCAATTAAAATTAAAAAGTATTAATAGTAGAAAAATAGGAATAAATGAAAAACAAAAGGTTGAGTTAGTATAGTTTGAAATTTCTTATCCTTTGAATCAATTGAATGTCGAAAAATTTATTTGACCTAAACTAGATGCATACAACATAGTTGTTTAAGTTCATTTTAGATTGATTGAGTTTATGGGTTAACCCAGATTTTTGCTTGCAAGCAACAATGATGTAGAGCTAAAGTAAGGTGTGGCAGTATTTTGTAACAGATGGACCTTCATTTGTTCAACAGCAGTTGTGGAATCTGTGATGATGATTGGTTTATGCTAATTTTAACTCTTAATAGAGGCATTACTGAAATTTCTGTGATGATTTAAAGATTAAAAGAAGAATATATGAAATAATCATCCCTATTAATATTATGTCTATTAATATTCATCTTTAAAAAAATATAAATATTTTTTAATTTTTAAAAATAATACAAAATACCCTCATGGACACGATAGCAACCATATACTTTTCATTCATATCAAAAATGAAAAACTAGGTCTTGCTTTTGTTTCTGAATAAATATTTTTAGAATATTATTCAAATTAAAGATTTCATAAAAAAACTTACAGCCATATTGAGTATATCAAAAAATTGTCATGTTGTATTAAAAATTATCATATTATGAAATCTTTAAATTTAATTAATTAATTAATTAAAATTAAAATTAAACTCAATTATTTAAATTAACCATATTAAGCTTTTTAAATTTAACACTAATAATACTTAAGCAGCTTGCATATGTATCCTTAAATAAAATATAATTTTATTTATTATATTTATTTAAAATTTATATTTTTGTTATTATAAGTGTGTGTATTATTTATTAATTTTAATTTTTAAGAGTTGTATTTTAAATAGTGATCATAATTTCTTTAAAAAATATATTATTTTTATAACAATTTTTTTTAACATTAAGTCATATTTAGATAAACTTACATTTTATTATTATTTTACTTTACTTTTTAGCATCAAAATATTCATTAAATATTAAATTAATAAAAAATTAAAATTTAAAAAAAATTATAAACAAGTCAATGTTAATTTTAAGTTAAAAAATTAATAATTAAATCAAGTTCAAATTTTAAATTTGATTCGTTTAAATAAATAAACAAAATTTAAGTATTTTTGTTTTACAATCTACGTTTGAGCTTTAAACACTAAATCTGACTCATTAACACTCATCACTATATCCAAAGTTAATTACTCAAAGATTTAATTGTTAAATAGAACTTTAATTTGTGGGATAACCCAGGCCACCACCACAGGTATCTGGCCACCTATTTCTTAAAAATTTAATTCATATATCATTCAAATATTATTTTAACACACACCACTCAACTCATTAACTAATGGGATTCAACTCACAACAAAATGGATTAACTCAAGGGCGTTTAGTTTGATTTATAATTAATAAAAAAATTAAGTTTAAAAATAAATTCACTAATAATATAAATGTTAAAATGTTTAATGATTTAAAAATTGTTTAGTAGTATTTTATAATTTTTAAAAATTTTAATTTTTATTAAAAAAGTTTCTTAATTTAGTAGGTGAACCCATAAACTAAACCAATAAATTAGTGAGTTAAGTAGTGTTATAAACTCACCATAAAAGTGAGCTAGGTTGAGTTGATTCACTGTTAAACACAACCTTTGATAGATGAATCTGGATGGTTAAATTAATTTAATTTGACAACTCTACTCAAAGGGATAGAAATATATAAAACCTTTTATTTATATTAAAATGGACAGTGTGATGAGACTTGAAATTAACATTATTTATTTTTTATATTATTCTAACAAAAAGTAATTCATAAATTTAATTAATTTTAAATTAAATAAATATATTTTTATTTTATACATTTCAATTTTAGAAAAATGGATCTTCAACAATAAAAATTCACAGGAAGGTGAATAAATTTAAGTTTTTTAATGCACTTTGTCTCATAATAATGAATATTTCATTAACATAATGTTAAAAAAAACTCACTTTTTTTAAAGTGAAAGGAAAGAAGAGAGAGAAAATAAAAATATAATTAATGATACGATAAAAAATATAAAAATAAAAAATAGATGTAAAAAAATAAAGTGTAAAAATATAAAAGTTAGATTAATTAATAATTACCATAAGCACTCATTTGGAATCGCGGAATATAGAATCGAAGAAACCTTTTAAGAAAGTAAACATCTATATCGAGACATTTTTCCACAAATTTGGAATGAACAAAAAGTAAAAGAGAAGAAAAAATGTTAAGCAATAACTATGCTAATAAAGCAAAGCCATCAGAGAAGATTATATGAAACATAAATTTTATAATATTATATACACACGGACATCATACAAAACAAACTATTATTTATGGAAAATTTATTAAATATTAGGATCTATAATATTTATTTAACAAAATTAATTTTAATAAATTTTTAAAAAATATACACTATACTAATATTTAATATATGAATAATACATAATATATTCTGTAAAATGATTTAGCAATATAATGTATCGTATTATTAGTACAAACAAAAAATGTTTATACTTCAAATTTTACTTTTTTAATAAAAAAAAGCATGTATTAATAAAATTAATTTAATATTAAATTATAAATAAATGATATTTTTAATAAAATATTTGACATCATTTTGTTTTAATTTATCTCCATCTTCTCAAACTAAACAACATCATTTTCTACTCTTTTATTTTTTTTCCTGATTTTTCTCTTTATATTTTCTTACCCTTTTCTGAACTTTGGAAGTTTCTTTCTTCCTTAAAAGAATCAGAAGGTCATCATGCAGAGAAACAGTAAACACTTTAATCAGTGTTACGAGATTCCAAATGAGTAACTTTTGCTTATCTTACAAACTTTTTGGACCAAAGAAAATTCTCTCGATAAACCTCGAAATAATAAATAAATATGCCAAATCTTTCACTTTTTTTTCTTTTGCATTAGAAAGATATTATTCTTCCGAAATCCATAAAATAGGTAGTCGGTAGGTGCGAATAGAATACTTAATATTTTATTTAATTTACAAGGAAAGACTTAGGATTAAAATATTAACATTATCTTCATACTTTTGAATAAAAAGAGAGAAAGAAAGATAACGACATGACGTATTGAGCTATGGTGCTGGAAACAATAACACTCTTCTTGGACTAGTGCGCTGCAATCTGGAAATAACATAAAGTCAAATAAATCAATTAGCAACTCAAAATGTGGGTTATTTATTTCTTTTTAGTAAACAAAGTGGAAACAAAATAAAGTGATCATATAAACCAATTAACAATTCTAATTGTGTGTGAATGTGTGCTTAATCAGGATTCAGGTGGGACAAAACCCCACTAAACTAAAATGCTACAATTATTAAAAAGAAGTAACAGAAGAGTCTTCCAACAATAGAGTCTTCCAAATAATCAGTTCCACAGTTACTTTCACAATGAGTATGTGAAAAACATAATATTCCCAGCTACAATTTTTCAGGTGATTAGTGATGAATACATAGGTTTGATAAAGACAACGCAGGGATGGGAATATAAGCCACATGTAAAGAACTCGGGATCCTAAAAAGCTCTACAACAAGGACTGAAGAGGATCCGAAGTTAAATGCACAAAACCACTGCAGACAGGCTCAACATATGATCCTAGGTGGTCGTGTAAAGTCCAAACTGAGGGCTCAAATATTAACACGAGTGACCCACTTGGGGCCACTATATCCCATGGTGGATATCTTAGTATGCATTCATGTACTCTCCTTGAGCATCCATATGTCTTGGTTTGAGGTGGCTCTCCGAAACCCTTGTACCAAACATGGCACATACTAACCTAGTGTGATCATGGCTACCTCCCCCTTCCCAATGCTCCTATGATGTCACAAGAGTGGAATTTTACTTAATTAAGACATAAATAGGCATTGTCAGACTATTTTATGCAGAAACACCCCATCCCCCGATTAATATTCAACCACCATTCACATCACCGTTAATGTTACCATGAACCACTGTCTCATAAACTATCACCACTATCTGAGATGCAACACTAAAACTCTAACCAAACTGTCCATACTCTCACATACCTTCTAAACACATATTAGGACCATTTTATCATGGATTTTGTGATTTTTTCTATATGTTTGGAAGAAAAAAAATTGTCCTGTGAATTTCAATTGAGAAAAATGATTTCAAATATGATTCTAATAAAGATTATATAACAAAATAATTTTTTTTAATTCTTTCACAAGATTATCAAAAACAAATTATTTTTTTCTCCATAGATTAACATTGAGAACCTACAAAAATTCCAAAACCAAGGCCCAAAGAAATACAACAATGTCAAAAGGGATAAGACATGAAGCACTCCCCTCAGAGAATCTAACACTAAATATGATTTATCTAACATACACTTCTATTTATCTTTTTGGTGCACAAACATTCACCTCCTTTTTGTTTTTGGTCGTAAAATACGCCTCCTTGTAATTGGTGATTGCTTACGCAATGGGCCTATATTTCTTTCGGCCTTCAGTTTTTGGTCAAATCCTGGGCCTTGGGCCTTAACTTGGCTTGCTACTGAGATGGTAATTCATATTGGGCTACATGCAAGTTTAGAACGGTATGAGTGGGAATTGGGCTTAAAACTATGGATTGGAGCTTGAATTCCACTGCACCACGCGCAAGTTGTAGTAAGTAACGCTATAATATATTTTTTTATTTTATTAATATTAATTTTTTAAGTTGATTTTAGGTAATTAAAAATTAAATATTTGATTTAAAAAATTTAGAGATAGCCCGATTAGTTCGATTAATTCATGTTAGTTTGATTTTAAAAATATTTGGTTCAGCAGATTGAACCTAATTTTGTAAAGAATCAATTAATTAGTTTGTTCATCGAATTCTTCGAATAATTCTTTGAGTTCAACAAGCATCAGTGAACGCTTGCAGCAGAATAGGCCAACATAATCAACTAAGTAAATCTTCCAAAGTTCTATCTTTTTTCAGTCTTCTTTCACTTTTTAATTTGGTTCGTTGACAATATATGCCTGTTCTAAAGCAATGAATATTTTTCAATAAAGTAATGTGAGTTGTAACACATGAGCTTTGTTTGGAAGTGGTGGAAATTAAATAACAGAGCCTTTGGGTCTTTAAAGCTCGGTTTATAGATGTTTATTGTCTTTTTGGCAAGACTTTCAAAAGTGTACCCACGTCGCCACTCACCACTTTGTTATTTAATTTATGTCATAAGAATGATATACAATCTGTTAATTTATATAAGAATCTGCAGTGTTTGTCTATTTGATTGTATAATTGATCCAAAACTCCCTTTAAATTTCAACCATGCGAGGTTTGAAACGGAAAAGTCCGTCATGTTTGTTGATTGAATCATTAGTATTGATAATAATATCTTTTTATTATATTATTAAAAAGTAAAGTCTATCAAGTTATCTTCACGATTTTGTTAACATTATTTATCAAGCCTAAGCAAATAAATATATCAAATTTATTTTAAAAGGTAGACTTACAATTTTATTAACATTATTTATCAAATCACGATGGATAGATAGCAAGATATTCTTAACTTAAGCTTGGATATAAAAATAATTATTTTTTTTTCTCGATTCAATATCTTAATGAATGAACGAAAGTGAGTTAGAATACTAAAATAATGTTATTTTATGTCACTACTTAGTATATTTGGAATGTAGAAAACAAGATAGTGTTTGTAAATGGGTAGATTAATGCGATTAGCGTCTTCATGTAGTGATTGATACATTTAATTAATCTCAGTATAGAGTTGAACTTATGTGTGTTGTGTGGCAACTCTCTCTATTGAAATTTATTGTCTCAAGGATCTTCATTTAAAAATATTGGCCTAGCAAGTTTTGGTAGTATAGCAAGATATCAATATAAAAAGTGACTTTTTGATTTTACTTTTTTTTTTATAATATTAGAATATATGAAATCTTGCAAGCAAAATTTATGGAATTATATCATGTCAAACTCAAAGTCTCATAATAATCAATATTACATATATAGTGCTATAATTCAGAACATAAGAATTTTACTAGGTTTGCAATGAGAAGTATACACTCCACATGTTTATAGGAAGGAAAATGTTGATGATATCATGGCTAAAATAAGACCAATTGGTTCTCCTATTCCCCGTCCCTTTTTTTTCACACTCAGTCATCATCTTCTCTTTTTCATAAAAAGCACGCAAAATTCAAAGAAACTAAAAAAAAATTCTTAAATCAATTTTGAGAAAAAAAAATATTTTTTGTCGTTTTTTACTTTTTTATTTAAGTAAATTCATTTTGACTTAAGTAAAAATAAAATTAGAAGTTAAATTTCGGTCATAACGAAAGAAAATCTAAATACTACTATAACCCTAATTACATATGATATGTTTGTAACTTTTAAAAAAACACCAAAACATAAATAAACTAATTTAATTATTATAAAGAGAGTGGATTCGAATTTTTAATATACAAAGGTTAATAGTTAAGATATATTTCTAAGAATATTTGTCATGGAAGATAGACTCACTATTATATGAAAAATTAAAATAAATGATAATATTTTACCAACACCTACACATTATTTTGGAAAAAAGAAAACTAACTATATCATTAGAAAAGGAAGAAGATGATTTCTCTTTAATGTTTCATTTAGTGTTTTAGGTGTAGCTTTGTTAATTTGATAAAGAAAGTAAATGTTAAAAAATATTTATTTTATTTATTGAATAATATGATATTTTATAATTTTGAAATAATATTTATATTATTTGATAAAATATATTAAAAATAAAAAACTAAAATTTGAAAAATATATTAATATTATATTATAACACATATATTCCTTTCAAGGAAATAATTATTTATTCCTAAAATTGTATTTTTATTACAACAATTTAAAAACCTTGATTTTCTCGTTAGTTTCTTTCCATTAAATTTCTTAATTTCTTTCTTATCCTTCTTTTTCATATTTTCTAAACTAAACATAACATGAAAGTTGTTTTGAGTGGATCTTCGAAGTTGTCTTTATTGGGTCTTTCTTTTTTGGTTTTTGTTCCTCTTTTACCAACCGGTTGGATAAACTTCCTCCCATTCAAACGTGACTTCGTTATCCCTTTTCCAAAGCAATGCATATTTTTCTTCAAAGTAATGTGAAATGTAGACATAAGCTTTGATTAAGAGAAGCGACGGAACTAAGTGTGTATTTGATTAGTTATAAAAAAAAATTTAAATAATTATATCTATAATTCATTTTATAAAATAAACTTTATGTTTAAATAATTCAATAAGGATTAATTTTAAATTAATATATTTTATTGAAATTGTATGGAATAACTATTTTTTATGATGAAATTAAAAAACATAAAATTATGTACAATAAATAAATTTTATTTTAAATAATTAATTATTGAGAATAAAATTAAAAAATAAAAGTTAACAAAAAACTAATTATAAAAATAAAACAATTAAAAACTGCTAACTTCTTTTTTAATATATACCAAACAAGATTAATTATTGATACTAATATTTTTTTAAAGTTTTGTTAATTTTAATTATTAAAACTGAATTTAAGTATTTACAAATAAAAAAATTATAAAAATATAATAAATATTTTTTTAATAAAATTTTATTATTATTAACTGTTGGTTCTAGACTAAAGTAAGGTAAACAAAATTTTTCTTATATATATCATAAGAAAGACATATTCCAATCACACTGAATAATATGCAACCATCGGATAAAGTATCGTCACACTTTACGAAAAGCTCAATTCATAAATGTTCATTTTATTGGCTTAGTGGAAGACTTCAAAAAGTGTAGTGTAGTCATGTCACCACAGACGACAATTAATCATGCAACTTGGTTATCATCATTCCTTATAAGCATTTCCTGATTCCAACTTGCAATCACCACAACCATGCCATCCATTTACAAGAATCAGCACCTTTGATTATATTCTTCATCCCAAATCCTGTTATACTTGAACCACAAGGCACCCATGTTTGAAAAAGGAAAGTCCATCAACATTCTAGTATGTTGTCGGATTCTCTTCATGTTACTTTGGATTCTTTTAACACCCAAAGTTGCTGGTTTTTCCAAAATCCTTTCTTCAGCTTCTGCTGCCTCCAATGTTAGTCTTCACTATCAAGCTGAAGCTAAAGATAATGAAGCAAATGCTTTGTTAAAGTGGAAACAAAGCCTTGACAACCAAACCCAAGCTTTGTTGCCAACTTGGGGAGGTACTATTAGCCCATGCAAATGGGAACGAATTCAGTGTGACAAATCCAAGTCTGTCTCTAGCATAAATCTTGCAAATTATGGACTCAAAGGTACCCTTCACTCTCTCAATTTCTCCTCATTTCCCAACCTCCTCAGCCTAAATATATACAATAACTTCTTTTATGGGACCATTCCTCCACAAATAGGCAACATGTCCAAAATTAATGAATTGAACTTGTCCTTAAATTCTTTTGATGGTAATATCCCAAAAGAAATGTGGACATTAAGGAGTCTTCGTAAGCTTGATCTTTCATTATGTCTACTAAGTGGAGAGATTCCTAATTCCATAGCAAACTTGTCCAACTTGTCATATCTTGATTTAGGTGGCAACAATTTTTCTAGTCACATTCCTCCACAGATTGGAAAATTGAACACTCTCACCTTTCTTGGTATTGGAGCTAGTAACCTTATTGGTTCTATTCCCAAGGAAATTGGAGAGTTGACAAACCTTCAATATATTGATTTGTCACGAAACTTTCTCTCTGGTACCATTCCTTCCGAAATTGGTAACATGAGCAGTTTGAATTCGCTTGGACTTTCAAATAACACTATTTCTGGGTCAATCCCATTTTCCATATGGAACATGACCAACTTAACGTTGCTATACCTTAATAGCAATAAACTTAATGATTCGTTGCATGCTTCCATAAAGAATTTGGTCAACTTGCAATTCCTTGCATTAAGTGATAACTTGCTTTTTGGATCCATTCCTTCCAGTATTGGAAACTTGACAAATCTCATTGAGTTGTACATGGATGCTAATCATTTTTCTGGATCAATTCCTCCCTCTTTAGGAAATTTGATCAATCTGAATCTTTTGAGTCTCCAAGAAAACAATCTTTTTGGATCAATCCCTACCACTTTTGGAAATTTAAAACGGCTCACCATCCTAGAATTGGCTACCAACAAACTTAGTGGTAGCATTCCACATTCCATAAATAACGTTACCAATTGGTATTCCTTGTTATTGGCTGACAATGATTTCATTGGCCATTTGCCACCTCAAATTTGCTCTGGTGGGTCACTTGCATTCTTTGCTACCTCTCACAACCATTTTACTGGTCCAGTACCAAAAACTTTGAAGAATTGCTCTAGTATTGCTAGACTCAGGCTTGGGGGAAACCAAATTGAAGGAGATATAGCACAAGATTTTGGTGTGTATCCAAATTTGAAACTTATTGATCTAAGTGACAATAAGTTTTACGGCCAAGTTTCAACAAATTGGGGGAAATGCTTCAATCTTGGTACCTTCAAGATATCCAACAATAATCTATCTGGTGGTATACCAATAGAACTTGCTGAGGCAACCAAGTTGGTTAGGCTTGACTTTTCTTCTAATCACTTGAATGGAAATATTCCAAAGGAACTTTTCCATTTGAAATCATTAGCTGAACTTGTGATCAGCAACAATGATCTTTCAGGAAACATTCCAATTGAACTTGGATTGTTGCAGAATCTGGAAGAATTGGATCTAGGAGGAAACAAGTTGAGTGGGACAATACCAACACAAGTTGTGGAGTTGCCCAAGTTAAGGAACTTGAATTTGAGCAAAAACAAAATCAAGGGAACCATTCCCTCTAATTTTAGAGAATTACAACCTCTTGAATCTCTTGATCTTAGTCAAAATTTTTTGAGTGGAATAATACCAACAGTGCTTGGAGAGTTGAAGAATTTGCAGTGGCTAAATCTTTCACACAACAATCTTTTTGGAACCATTCCATCCAGTTTTGGTGACACATCAAGTTTGATTTTTGTCAACATATCATATAACCAGTTGGAAGGTTCACTTCCAAAAAATCATGCTTTTCTTACTGCTTCAATCGAATCATTAAAAGGTAACAGAGGCTTGTGTGGTAACGTCACTGGCTTGGTTCTTTGTCCTACCAACCATAGTAAAAAAAGCCACAAGGTCATTCTACTAGTACTATTTGTTGCCATGGGTGCTCTAGTACTAGTATTTTGTGTGGTGGCAGTTTCAATGTATATTCTTTGTAGAAGTGCAAGAAAGGAAGAAATCCAAGCGAACGAAGCACAATCAGAAGAAGTGTTTTCTATATGGAGTCATGATGGAAAAATGATGTTTGAAAATATCATTGAAGCTACCAATAATTTCAATGACAAATATATCATTGGAATAGGGGGTCAAGGATCTGTTTACAAGGCTGAGTTACCTTCAGGTCAAGTTGTTGCAGTGAAAAAACTACATTTGGAAACAAATGAAGAGAAGCCAAATTTTAAAGCTTTTGAAACTGAAATTCGAGCTTTGACAGAAATCAGGCACCGTAACATTATAAAGCTATATGGTTTTTGCTCACATTCACGGTTCTCATTTTTGGTTTATAAGTTCTTGGAAGGGGGTAGCTTGGATCAAATACTAAGGAATGACACAAAAGCAATTGCATGTAATTGGGAAATGAGGGTGAATATTGTTAAAGGTGTGGCCAATGCTTTATCATACATGCATCATGATTGCTCACCTGCTATAATTCACCGTGACATATCAAGCAAGAATGTTCTTTTAGATTCACAATATATTGCTCATGTCTCTGATTTTGGAACAGCGAAGTTTTTGAAGCCTGGTTCACACATTTGGACCACGTTTGAAGGCACATTTGGGTATGCAGCTCCAGGTTGGACCCCTCCCTCTTTTCCTTATATTTAGAGATTGAAATGATCACATTTTGCAATTCATTTACACTACTTTTACATTCAAATTGTGTAGGAATTGATAACAACACATAAAGGAATTGGACTAATATCAAATTGAACTACGCAAAAACTAGTAAAAATTGATATTTGTTTGTTTCAAATACATTTCTAAAAACAATCTACTATACTTTGATATAAAAATGTACATATTGCTTTATGAGTTATAACTTCAAAATTTTTATTCATTGTAGAGCTTGCCCAAACGATGGAAGTGACTGAGAAATGTGATGTCTTTAGTTTTGGCGTGCTTTCTTTAGAAATAATAATGGGAAAGCATCCAGGAGATCTCGTTTCTTCATTACTATCATCATCAACAGGAGCTTACAATTTGCTACTAAGTGATGTGTTCGATCAACGACCTGCTCAACCTCTAAAATCAATTGTTGGGGATGTCGTTTTGGTTTCAAAGTTGGCATTTTCTTGTTTGAGGGAAAATCCACATTCTCGCCCAACCATGGATCAAGTGTCTAAGGAGCTTATGAGGGGAAAATCACCTTTAACGGACCAATTTCCAATGATAAGACTAGGACAACTCCTCTAAAGCATTGAACTACTTAAATAATATGTTCTTGTATTATTCTATTTCTGTTATCTTACGTTGTAAGCTTGTTTGTTTTTCCTTTGTATAAATCGTGTCTTAGTTATTAGTTGGTCTTATTTTGATAAGGTATTAGTTTATTTTCTTTGTATACTTGGAAAAAGTAACTAGATTTTCTAGTTGAAATAGCAAGGGGTGTGGCTTGGGACATTACTCTAGGTGGCAAATTCTTAGTGGTGTGAGCATTCATATGTACAAACTACTAGTTTGAATAAAAGTAAAGCAAAAATGCTTCACTTTATAATTAGTCCCAAATGAAAATACATATATATGAATTAACTAGAGTACTATTCCTTTCTTATTTCTCCTTTTAGATATGTTTTTATTTATTCATGCATGCCTTGAACCTTCTCAGCTCATGTTCCTATTGCATTTTCATCCTCTACCAATTTCGTGCCTTGGCTCCCCTATCCAATAAATGTAGTATTTTGAGAACTGATATGGGGCAATGTTATTAAATTTACCCCAATTATCAAATGAATGAGAGTGTATTAATTAAATTAGTTTCATTATTAAACAACTAAAAATTACACTGTATATAATTATTTTTATCACTTGTTTATTTGTTATAATTTTTTATAAATATACATTTCAAAAATATGTCCAAAATGTAAAAAGGACACCCTTAACTGGTCCCCCCCAAATAGTACATAGAATATTTTCCTTTATTAAACCGTCTTCTCTCTTGAGTACACACATGCATGTACACTCAAGATACCAAAAACCGTAACAAAATATTGTATATTTACATAGGTCCGACAAACAGGTCATTAAAACTATTGAAACCTTTTACAAACTATTATATTATAAGTAAATGGTCTTTATTAGTTCAGAGTAACAACGAAAAACCAAGTCAAAGTAGAATAATTTATAATTTTATAGTGTTTATATATTTTACTAATAATACTTTGATGATTTTATTTATACTATAACATTGACATAAAGCGAATCAAAGTTTTATAAATATATTATATAAAACAACAACTTGACAAATATATATATATATATATATATATATATATATATATTCAAAATTTTATTTTTGTAAAGGTTAAATTGTTTTACTCAATGAAATAATAAGTTTTCTACTGAAATAACAAAAAAAAAATTGTGAAGTTTGAGTGTTAAAAGTTGATTAAAATAATAATGCTCAAAGGTATTTACGTTCACCTTAAAGTTTAAAAACATAAATTAAAGGTTTATTTATACACATATACTTAACCAATTTTGACATGTTAGTCAAATATTTTAAAACAAAAAAAATTATAATTGTTATGCTTTTATCATTGTTAGTAAATTGTTATAACTTAATCTTAATTGTATTTTGATAATAAAAAAAATCTTAAATTTTTCAATGAAATAATTTAAATAAAAATACTTTTATTTTCTAACTTTTATATTAATTTTCATATCAACTGCTTTCGTCACATGACAAAAGCTTCATTACTTTGTTGATGTTAACAATACATGTTGGTAATTTTGTTCATGTGAGAAGTGAATTATAGAAAGTAATTTTATGTCAGGAATTCATATGTAACTTTATTCAACATTATAACAATTTTTCCTAATCACTTTGTTTAGCAATATATTTTTGTTAGTCAATCTTATTATTTTTTTATGACTTCTCCCTTAAAGTTTTGACTAAAAATATTTTAATTAAAAAAAAAACATACTTTTATCATTTAACTTCCATTTTAGATTTAATATTCGTTGTCTTTGCCACATGACAGAGTTCTATATTTTTTTGTTCATGTTAGCAGTTCATGTTGGCAATTTTGTCTAAAAGGCAAACAAAACAATAAGGATTGAATGGGTTTTCAAACTTTTCTACAAATGACAAAAAAAATTCGAAAAAAAAAAGGTATTATGATGATAATGAAAAACAAGGTAAGACTAAGAAGTGCCTATAGTAATAATAAAATTATATAATCGTCCATAGAAAATATAATACTATTAATGTAAACTTATATGTATATTAAATAATTAAAAACTATATTGATAAAATATAGTTCTAACGCATGACAAAATTTATTTATTAATAAATGCTAGGTTTTTTTTTTTATTGTATACTTAATAAAAACAACAGAATGATGCTTGAAAACAATGTATTCATGAACCAGGAAAAAAGGAAAATAATATTCAAAACAGCCGCAACAACCAGAGTTCTATGGTTATTACTATTATTATTATTTTGGTCAAGCAGAGTTCTATCATTAGATACGTTGCCCTTGACCTGTTTTTTGGGCCAAATGGGAATGAACTTTGAACAAAGATCGGTGCTTTGGATAATTTCGAGGAAGAATATAAGGTACACATTCATCTCTGAATATTTTTATTTTTCAATTCACTCGTCATAGGTATCTCTGATTCAAGATAAACCATAAAGATGGCCCACAAAATCATCCATGAGTTCCTCCAATTAAAAATATCAACCATTATTTTACACCCATTTTTTATAATTATCTTTTTTATTTATATTCATTATAATTTTTTTTCCTATTTCTCTCTTTTAAATGACTTTGACAAATGAATCATTTTTATAAAACTCATTTATTTCAAAATTATAAAACTAATTATTATATTTTTTAACAAAAATTATATAATTCAAATTAAAAAAAAAGAATATGTTTATTAATTGTTTTAATAAATATAGTATAGTCTTTATGTAGTGTTTTAGATGAAAAAGAAATCATAAATTTTAGAATAGTTCACAAGAAACTATTTTGTTAGTAAATTAGTATCTAAATCTACAAAATTGTTTCTTTAGTTATGTTTTTAGTTTTTATTTTTTTAATAAGTGTTAGTTTTTTTTCTATATATATAAATTTTGAATTCTCCTTTGCTTAAAAAAAAAATCATGCAGATATTTCAAACATATTTAACAATTAAAAATCAATTTCACTTCACTCAATTTAAGGTTAAACACAGACATACATGAGAAAGAGTCCACGTGGCACATGCTGATTGTATAGAAAGTCAAAACAAGACAACCATTATTTCGAGTATCCTATTGTGCTACAGAAAGCATGTATTTGTACTTCTTATAGAATATGTACAAAGCCGAAACGTTTATCCAATAAAAAATGTCCAAACAAGTCACCCATTCCCACTGGCCCTAACGCCGGAAAAATGTTGGATTAATTCAACAATTCTTCCATCACTCAGCTCTTCTTTTCTTCTTCCCCTTTTGACTTCACTCCCCATCACTCAGACCTACTTCAAGTACCATTTAATATAATAAACACACTCATTTGTGAACAAAAATCTTTCTTGTTCGTTCTTGCATGTACAATGTAAGTGAACAACTTAAGGAAATATGGATTGAGGACTATAATGAATGCACATATCCACTAGAACGCTTATAAATAGAACCCAGTGATTAGCTCGATATCTCAAACAATATCACTGAAAATAAAATTTAGCTAACAAAAGAGATCACAATAATGGGGCAACAAGGAGATTGTGCTTCTTCGTTTACTAGTGCTATGAGTCTTGACCAACTTGGTGTGTCTTCTATACCTCAACGTTATGTTCTTCCTCCATCACAACGCCCGAGCCCTCATGTTCCCATCTCCACCACCCTCCCCATTATAGACTTGTCTACTTTGCGTGATCAATCTCTCATATCTAAAACAATCAACGAAATTCGAGTCGCCTGCAAGGAGATTGGTCTCTTTCAGGTATAACACTTGTTCAATTTGTACATTTTCTAATGAAGACACACGAAGCATACACATGTACATTTGTATATATATATTCAATTATTAATTATAGGAGCCGATATATTTTAGAAAAGTGACTACAAAACTTTATGCAATTGTTTAATTCGATATATCTTATTCAAACCAATCGTAGTAGCAATTTTGATTTTGTAGGGCTATTTAATTATTATTATTTTTTCTATGCCACAATTTGTGGTATAACACTTGCCCAATTGGCAGATCATGTAACTTTGCTAATGAATGTGTCTGTATATAAAGAAGCTGAGTGTGTGTGTGTGTGTGTAGTTTTAGAGAAGTAACAAAAAAACCCTTGTTTAGAATTTTGAAATAAGCACTACTATTTCTTTGCACTACTTCTATGAAATTACCCGCCTTCATTTTATTTTTTTTCTTCCGAGTGGAATTGTAACCATCTTTGTTCTTGCTATCATGCATCATCAAATTTCTAAGCTCACTTTCATTAAACTAAATAATTAAATTTACAGATTACTTACATTTTTGTAGGTTGTTAACCATGGGATTGACCGATCAGTAATGGATGAAGCCCTAGAAGTGGCAAAAGAGTTCTTCAACCTCCCTAATGATGAAAAGATGCGATTATTTTCTGATGATGTGCACAAACCTGTAAGGTATGGAACAAGCCTTAATCAATCTCGGGATGAAGTTTTCTGCTGGAGAGATTTCATCAAACACTACTCTCATCCAATATTGGATTGGATTCATATGTGGCCTTCGAATCCATCAAGTTACAGGTACTAATTCTAAATTTTTCAAATGCTTTAATGTAGACCTTTTCAAATGCCAAAGTTCTGCATATTTGCATAAACAACATAATTACCCTCTAGTGCATCAAGTTGTTATTAAGTTGGAGCAGATTCATAACCTTGAATTTAAACTTACTAGAATAAACTTAAAAATATAAGTAATTTTCATAAATCTAACTAGTAACTGCTCTAACGTCTAAATGTCTTCTAAATCCATTTCAAATTAACTAATTTAATTCAAACAATTTAACCACTGCCACCAAATCTTCTCATTCATGTCTATATCATTATCTTGCTATTAAATTAAGGGTAATTATTAATTCACACCCACACGTGGGGTGTGAAATGAGTGAAAAGAAGAAAAGTATAAAGTAGAAGATATAACTAAATAGATGTGGAAAAAAAAAATCTTAAAGTTAAATATCTACAATGTTGACAGGGAGAAGATGGGAAAGTATGTAGAAGCTGTTCAAGTCCTGCAAAATCAACTATTGGCAATAATTTTTGAAAGCTTGGGGTTAAACCGTAGTTACTTACATGAAGAAATCAATGGAGGCTCACAAACACTTGCTGTGAACTGCTACCCTGCATGTCCAGAACCGGGACTCACCTTGGGAATCCACCCTCATTCTGATTACGGTTCCATAACATTGCTCCTCCAAACCCGTTCAGGGCTAGAAATCAAGGACAAAAGCAACAACTGGGTGCCTGTTCCTTTTGTTGAAGGAGCTCTTGTGGTGCAATTGGGTGATCAAATGGAAGTTCTCAGCAATGGACAATACAAGAGTGTGATTCACCGAGCAACAGTTAATGGGGATGAGAAGAGATTTTCCATTGTGAGTCTTCATAGCTTTGCGATGGATAGAAAGATGGGTCCAGCACTTGAACTTGTTGATGACCAGCACCCTAAGTCCTACAAGGAGTTCTGCTTCAGGGAATTTCTGGATTTCATCTCAAGCAATGATATTGCAAAGGGAAGGTTTCTTGACACTTTGAAGATGTAGAAACCATAGATTCCAAGGGTTAAAGTTTGAGGGTATATATAGTTTAATATATCAATAGCATTCTGTGAGGGTTAGTTTTATAAAATGATAAAAAAAAGATGCATCGAGACATATATGTATCATGTATGCTTTTCTTTTCCTTGTCTTCTGTTTGCCTGGCTACTTAATCAATATGTACTTGGAATAAATAAAAGCATGCGAATGCAATAACACCACACTATAAGTTTTAGAAGACTTGAGCAGTGAGAGTCGAACGGTACTTTATATTCTCTCTATCACCATGCCATGATACGTTATTCTTATACAAGTTAATTACAACCTGACATACGAACACAATAACTAGTATTAAAAAAAAAACTGTGTGACCACTTCAAATTATGTATAACAAATTGTGACATATTGAAGAATTTGTAGATAATTAAGACTTAAAATAGGAGACCAAATTTAATATTAGAGCTATGCGGTTTAAAGATCATAGCAAATTGAGGATGGAAAAATGCTTACCTCCCGTTAATAATGATGATTAACGTCGATCAATATGAGAGTCCTCAAACTACACCGAACAAATGCTTTTCTTATACGGGTAATTATCCAAAAAACAAAAAACTTAACAAAGAAAGCAATGCATGAAAATTGTACCCGTGTTTTCCCTTCGTCTATCTTCTTCTTTTCTTTATTTCCGATGTGTCTCTCTCTCTCCCAAATCGTCTCATAAGGTTTCTTTATGCATAATAAGAAGCATTCGGAGAAGAAAAAGGAAAAGGAGAAAGACGAGGATCATCTCTTTGCCGCCACCTGTTCGAAGAGGCCCTCTCAACGCGACGCGTAAATGCACCATTCTTCACTCTTTTTTCGAGGAGCCTCCTCAACTCGACACGTACATACCCTGTTTTATTATTATTATTATTATTATAAGGTCCCTGTTAACCCTCAGACTATTCTTTTAAGGAAACATACTTTTTACATTATTTAAAAAAAATATTTTTACGTATTATTTTAATTGTGATATAAATATATACACGCAAAAATGATTATATATAACAAGCATTGGCAGTGCAGGGTCCCCTCTGATTCTCTGTGAATTTAACCAAAAATTAACGGATGGAAATTAGGACGTACCTGTCTGGATTCATGCATCTCCTATAACATGAAAGGTAGGGTCTCAATGGACGTGAATTTATGAATCCACACTTCTGAATCTCTATTGTTTAGTTTACTCAAAAGAAGAGACATAGCTTCTCAAAGTGATTTGCTTGGAGGAAAAATCATGGTGGTAGGAGCAAAACAAAAGATAAATTAAAGGTGTGTAGTTTTATTTATTTATTTATTACACACGATTAATGGTCATCATGTAGACACTTACTTACTGTGAAATTAATGCATTGCTAACCTCCTATCACAAGATAACATTTATCTAAACTACACTACTCCATATGTAATTTTAATGATGACACTACAGCATGACATGATATCATAAAAGGAGAATAACAAAGGGTTCAACAATTTGCTCTTCACCCTAGGGAAGTTATATGATGCCTTTCTTTTTTCATTTTATTTTATAAACTGCTATACTGAATAAACAAGATCCTAAACTTTTACATTGTATGTATTTAATGGATTGAGTCCACTTTAAATATTTGCCTCCAGTCATTTTGGTTCATGTTACACAGCCTATTCATATATTTGCTATTATATATACTCTTGCCTTTCCATGAATCTACATTCATCAAACATATTTGCCTTCTTAACTTTATGTATAAATAGAATATAATAAGTGCTGATCAACGACCTAGTCCATCTAGCATTAATTAAAGGGTTATTTCGTGAAAAAAAAAAATAAAAGAATAAAATAGGATAACTTTTTTATATTTATTTTTTATGTTTATTTAATTAATATGGTAGAGTAAATTTATTTTATAGACTTATTTTATTTATTTATTTATTTATTTATTTTATCTTACAAAAAAGACCTATATCAATTAAAAAAATACTATAATGCTATCTATTCTAATAATCTAGCATGCATCAAATGAATAATAAGATGAGAGCTTATTATATTTTTATTAAATCAATTTTTATTTAAATTTTTATATTTTATGATTTTTTATCTTATTATATTTGCTAAATTAAATCTTAAAATGATAAAAATAAACAATTTTGATCCAAAATATTATTTTTTGTATTTGAATTAATTAAATTAAAAATTTATTATATTAATTAACTAAAGAGTTACTTAAGATGATTATCTATTTTTAAAATTTTAAATAATAATACTAATTTTTCTCTATCATATTTTAAATTTTTATATAATAAATATTTGTTAATAAATTTTCTTACTTAAAATTAATCCTAATAACCAAAGTTAATGTTATTCTAAAAAGAAAAGGCAATAATTAAAGTTCTGGTTGGGGTCAATTTAATTGGATTGGATCTACCCCCCGACCATTACCATTACAAATACGTCACCGTATTTGTGACGTTTCCACGCGATTTTCATTCGGAAGAAGCAACAAGCGAACCCAACGAGGTTGTCTTTCGATTCCTTGGTGCGAATCTTCTGTTATTCCAAGGTGAATCAACGCCACCGGACCAATCTCCGGCGACATCACACCGATCTCCGGTGAATCCTCGGGCCCCATTTCCATCACTGCAAATGAATCCTGAATAGTACGTTCCTCTATATACCTCTTCCCCTTTTCCCTTTAATCGTCACTGATTTTCTGAAGTTCGTTCCTTTTTGCTTTTTTTATGTTCTGTGTTAAAAGGGTGGGTTGGTTGCTAGTAAATTGGTGCATATTGGTTGGGTTCTGTTAGCATCAAATCTCGTTGTCGTGTAACCCTAGATTCATTGGCTTTCATAAATTTTGACCCTTTTGTCTTTAGTTTAATTACTTGTTAATCAGGGTTCTGCAGCGATCATTGTGATTTTTTGCTTTTGTGATTGATTTTGAGGTGCAGAGTTACCCTGATCTTGTCTTTTGTTGATTTGAAAGAGTCATTTGTGTTTCTATGCTCATTTTTCCTTCGTTCTTATCGTCACGTGGATCAATACCCTAATCATAATGCTTAAGTGCATGTTTGTTTGGGATTAATTCTGTAAGTTGACAAAAGTAAGGGATTATTTTTCCTTGATAAGTTAAATCAAACATGCACTAACTGGATTGAGAAATGAACTGCTGATATTGTATTGTAATTGAATTTGTTGCTTGAATGATTTGATTGGCAATTCATTGAAGGAATCATCAAACTATGCTAAACCAGTGAAATTAGGGGATACAAGAGAGTGTTTGCTCAGTTGCTACGTTGCTACGTTGTTATGCCTTGTGTTATATTGCTTTATAGATCTTCAAGAATCAAGACTTCACAATTGGCTTTCAATTTAGTTGTTAACTTGATGTGTGTGAAAGAGCAAGAAATGGTTGCTTCTGATGCTGATTCAAAAACTATTTGAAGTGAATTAATTAATATGCTGTGGCTATCCTTTGCAGTGATTATCTGTTCAAGCTCCTTCTTATTGGAGACTCTGGTGTTGGCAAATCCTGTCTTCTGCTGAGATTTGCTGTAAGCTTTCAGATGCTTTTTATTTAATTATTTTATTGTTGCGACTACTACTGGGTTTTATTTCCCATTATGTGATCTTGTAATTTTTTTATTTTCATTTTACCTTGTTTTTCTATTCTCTTAGAGAGTTACATCTCTTATCCTAAATAATAATAGCATCCTTTGGGCACTCTTCAATTAAATGTGATAACTTTGTAACTGCGACATCTTAATATGTGATAGCTAGCAGCTACATGTTTTATTCTTTGTTTAAAATTTTAATTGTGTTAGAGTTCTGTAATTAAACGAAGTTGAAATAATGAATTAGTGGATTAGCCTTTTCTCTCTGGATCATTTTCCCTTTCTCCTCATGTGTAATGATGTACGCTCTCCTTATGCACAGAATGGTTGCAAACATGTTGGTTTATCACTTGGCTGCCCAGTATGTTCTACAACTATTCAAGGAAATTGAATGCACTTTTGCTAGATATTTTGATAGGAACTTGATGCTAGAGCAGAAAATATGAAAATATCAAGGGAACATAGCATCCCAGGCCCCTTACCGCATGTTTAGTCTTATTTGTACTAATATTTTGTAAAAGCTTAATTACATAAAATCTTTCTTCTTTCTTTTTCCCTGTGGCGAATATTAAATATTAGCAATGGCATGTCATATCATACATACTTTAAATTGTGCATACTGCATACCCAACTTACCTCACTTGCAATATCCTTCGTAAACTAGATATTCTGCTATTCAGCTATTGTTATAACTCATAAAATATGTCTATGTCATCTGTTCTACCTTTCAGAGATCATGATAGTTATGTCACTTTCTTAAACAAATGGCTTCACTCTACATGTTGGTTGATTGTGGTTCTTGGAGATTGTACATTGTGGGTTAATACAGTAATCTGGATTAACCTGTGATAATTTCTATGTTATGCTACAGGATGATTCTTACATTGACAGCTACATAAGCACCATTGGAGTTGATTTTGTGAGTACAACTTTGCAAAGTTTTTGCTTGAACTGATTGAATCAGTGTCTAAACTCATTGTTTCTTGTCAATTTTTTGTAGAAAATACGTACTGTTGAACAGGATGGAAAGACCATTAAACTCCAGATTGTATGTATCTAACTAGCTTTGTCCTCTATTATCTATTGATATTCAATCCTCCGTGAGCGTGATCTATCTTTTTTAAACTTTTTCGTCGTGCAAACATTTTGGTTTAAAATGTTTGTTGATCATTTCTACCTTTTTCTTTTAAGAACTTCCTCTTTGAATCAATCATGTTTCTAGATTAAGTGGGTCACTGAAATTCATGGTTGTATTGACAGATTGTTTTCTTACCTTGTTCTGTGATCTGATTTTTTATGTAGTGGGACACGGCCGGGCAAGAACGATTTAGGACAATCACCAGCAGCTACTACCGTGGGGCACATGGGATCATTGTCAGTGTTGATTTCCTTGGCATAAGCTTTTAAATATAGATTTTCCCTTTCTAAGTGGATCCTTGCCTGCTTGACTGACTGGTTCCTCTGGCAGATTGTTTATGATGTGACTGATGAAGAGAGCTTCAATAATGTGAAGCAGTGGCTCAGCGAAATTGACCGCTATGCAAGTGATAATGTTAACAAACTTTTGGTTGGCAACAAGTGTGATCTGACAGCAAATAGAGCTGTGTCATATGAAACAGCTAAAGTATTACTTTATTATACACCCAGCCTTGAATTTTATTTTTTCATATTAAGTAAACAGTTTCAAGCTTGTGTTCATGCTTAGTGCTGTTGTTGAGTTTACTCGTATTCCTATTTCAGCTACCCAAACCCTATCTTTATGTTTCCTTTTCGTTGCCAGGCATTTGCAGATGAAATAGGCATACCTTTTATGGAAACAAGTGCAAAAGATGCTACAAATGTCGAACAGGCTTTCATGGCAATGGCTGCTTCCATCAAGAATAGGTATACATTCCTGTTTATAATTTAAACAGTAGATATGCAATAAAATTGCAGAAGTTTAATGTGTGCTCAGGAAAACATATGTAACAAATAACAGAAGAAAAATTATATTGTAGCTCATACCAACATTCTTTAGTTTTGAGTATACTGGATATGGTCAGATTCTATCACAAGTTTTTGGGAAGGTGAAAATTCCCAAACATTGGGCTAGCATGGATATGTCACTAGAGTGGTATTCTAACCATTCCCATCTAGATCATAGTTACCCTTTCTCTGAATAACTCAAATGTCATAAGGAGATGGACTGAAATAGGCAAAAAAGCCATGGCCACTTGACCACATAAGAAATAATTTTGGAGGCCAAATTATGAAGATCCGATATATTTCCTTTTCCAGTCTGCAGCACAACTCTCAGCTAACAATACTATCTCTTTAAAAATGTCCCACCCCTTGTATAAGAAAATGTCTCGAAAATTACTCTGTTCTCTTAGCTAGTCCTTCACAATACAAAATGACAAAAGTTAATATTAGAATGAAAGGGTTGTCACACATGTTTGAGCTAGAGTTATCTATATGAAGTCTATATTCAAGTGGATGAACAAAACACAATGCACAAATCACAGTATATATAAATAGTTTTTTCTGTTTTACCTTTCCTCCACCTGTTCCCTAAGGATGGCTTTAATTTAAACTATGACTAGTTATGTATAGAACTAGATCATTGACTTTTTATTTTCTTTCTCCAATTCCTTCTAAGCTCATTATCTGATAGTAACTTTACTTTGAATGTAGAATGGCAAGCCAACCTGCAAACAATGCAAGGCCTCCAACAGTGCAGATCAGGGGACAGCCAGTTGGTCAGAAAGGGGGGTGCTGCTCTTCCTAACCACAAGTTATTCTGAATCTCTGATCCATTTCTTTTTCTCTGTTTCTCACCTATTTCATGTAAGTTTTTTTTTTATTATTATTTCACTAAATAGTGGACCAATGTCAGAATTTATCTGGTGGTTTGGAACTGACCTTAGATGATCCCATTCTTTGAATATACTTAATGATATGGCTTGTGCAAAGTATATTACTCATCAGTGCTAAATATATATATTCATGCTCTTATCTTTCAATTTGAGACCACTACCTTTTGTTTATTCGATTGCTACAAAAATGTGGTATCATAGAGCAGCACATCCATGCTCTGGGTATAGATAGTTATTTTCTTAGCCTTTCCACGTTTCATCAACAAATATACACTACGTTATAGAATCAACAAAGCTTTGATGGGAGTTTAAATGAAACCATCCATGCTTATTATTTTTAAAACCATGTCATTTATGCTCGTGGAAATTCAGTTCTAAGAGAAAATCAAAGCAGACCACGGGGGACTGACTCAAGCTATAGACAAAGAAGGACTTTGATAGATAGATAAAGGCACTAAGACAAAAAAAAAAAAGGGCTACTTCACTATGAATCAACTTGAGATAGTTGGACTCATTTTACTTGCAAACGTACACTAAAAATGAATTTGTCATGATGTTGGAGACAAGAGTTTTTATAGTTTGAACAGATTTTTTATATTATAAAAATGTCTACAACTCCAGATTAAGGAAAGCACTTATTTTGCTGTGTATTGCTTCACCTATATTTTAAAAGGTTCGTCTAAGCTGATTGGTCTATTTGTGAAAGAATTTATGAAACTAGTATATAATTTTCATCAATTTTTTATTTTAACCTATTCTAATTAGTATAGCTTATCAGAATAAGTTCTTGTCTGTTTATTTCGAAATGTTTTATGATTAAATATTAAATAAAATAATAGAGTACTTAATTACGCTTAGTTTCTGAATGCACTCTAAAGCACGGCAAAAAGAGGGTTTCTGACTAACTTCTCCCGTTTTTTTTCCTTAACTCAGCCAAACAATAGAAAAAAGTAAGGAATAAAATTAAGCCCTTCCAACTAGGAGGCGTTAGACGGAAGCTTGCCTGTGTTGATTCATAGTTTGCCTTTATTCTCCACTTGTGCAAATTCTGGTTTAAGTTTAGTCAAATTCTCTTTAATCTTGAAAATACAACGACCAAAGAAAATTAACATTTACTCTGATTAAATATTAGAAATGGTCTTTCAAGAATACAGTTTATATTGTCATTCAAATATTTTTAACATGAATACATTTATGGTATAAAATATATATTAGCTTATGGTTCAAATTGATTTTGTAAAAACTAAGTTGATGCTCATTTTTATAAGTCAAGTGTTCAAGACCTTTTAAGAACTGGGACCATGTCAGGTATATTTCAAAAGACTCGTTTTAATTTTTAATTATTCAAAACACAATGCTTAGTTGACAAAAAAGAAAAATAATTACACATGAAAAAAATTAGTTGAATTAGCCTCATATCGTAGATGTTCCTGATTCGAGCAATTGAATAATATCTTTGATTCAGGAAAAAAAAAATATATAACTCTTTTGTAAAATAAGAAATCCATCCAATGCAAGTGGGCACAAATGGTGCAGGATGGGAAGGAAAACTGAGGCATGGTCCATCTAGAATGATCTCTACTTTATGCAAGCACTCGCCCACACCAACCACGTACTCCACAAAAATGCTGGATCTTGACCAAAATATAGGATAAGAGAAACCAAAGGTGGTAGCAAAACTGAGATGTCAAACTATGAAAGGGTAAACTCAACAACATTTATGTCTTACCCGCCACCATATACCACCAAAATGTCAAATGCAATAAAGTAAAGCATAAAGGGAAAAGGCTACTAGGGATACAGAACCGTATGAGGAACCTAAATTTACATTTTTTAAAGTCATATAATTAAATGACCCTTCTAATCCAGCAAATTCGATTAACATAGTTCTTTTCTTGCTAAGTTCAAATAAGAGAACCCAAAATTGCAAAATAGGACCAGGATATCAGAAGGGTTCTTGAAGATCTCACTTGCCACTCAAGGTTGGGAAATGCCCAGGATCTTCAATGGATGGAGCAGCTGCATTGCTCGTAGCATTTCCACGATAACCACCACGTCCGCGGCCACGTCCCCTTCCACGCCCACCTGAGTTGTAGTAGGCTTCCCCTTCAGCAGGCTTCAGAAACTCGTTTATGCTGACAGACTTAAGAATATGAAATCCAATAAATTATGCCAAATTAGTCAGCCACACTGAAGAAAATTGACAGGTTCCAAAGCATACTATGAGATCATGAACAACAATTTATTGTTTAAAATCCCTCTTTACAGGGATACGCTAGAAAAGGAAAGCATTGCCTGTCACAGAAAGCCAACCTGGAATGTTGATACAAAAGGAACAAAAGAATTTTGTGGATAAAATCAAGAATAATAAGCAACTTCAAGCAAGGATATCTTAAGCTTTCAATTCAAAGCACAATAACTTGTCACTATCTAAAATTCAATCAGTACAGATAATAAAATTGGGAATAGATTAAAGAAAATTCTGTAGGTTATAAAGAAGCATTAGAAGATTCTGTAAATGCAAAAATGTAATTTCCTTCTGAATGTAAATAAAACCTTCAAACAATGATATCAACACAAATAAATATCACCTTGGTAAAACATCCTTTTTAACCATCATGGAAAATTTTGGCTTGCCTATTTCTAGTCTCTAACATGACTTGTGTTAGCTTTGTAAAATATGTACACATGTTTATTATTCAAAGCTTAAAAAAGTACACGAAGGGAATATTATAAGCAAGATTTCCAAGATGTATATTAGTATTAACTGAATCAATACCAACATAATATATTCAGATGAATGAACCAAAAACTGGAGAAACAAATTCTACTGACACTATTTTTATGAACTGACTCCAGCGTTTAATAAATATCAAAGAATGGAACATGCATACACACACAAACGTATGTACACAATTAAAGCATCCTAAAAAACACCATATTTATAAAAAAAAAAAAAAAAAAGAAATTGATGTACTTGGACCAAACACAACCCATAGTTGAATTTAGAGACAAACAATAGAAATATATAGCTAGACAATTGGCATAGGGACTCTATTGTCAGAAAAAATGACTAAAGTGCCACATGACAGCAATAAAATAAAAAAGCATTTGGAATCGAAGAGATAAGTAGTGTTAAAGACATCATGTCATGTCAAAGCCTAGGGCACCCAAAAATGGTAAAATTTGAAAGCAGAGTATAAGGAATAGAATAGAAAGGAACAGAAGCAATTAACAACTTATTCTTGTAAACATGGTAGAGACATCTTTATCATTATTTAAAATGTCTTGAGCATTATGAATCCAGTCAAATCAGTTTTTCTTTATGATTAATTATCTAATGAAATTAGTTTCCTTAATTACTTTAATCAATACTTCGAATTTCTCAATTGGATTAAATTGAATCAATTGACATTGAGTATAAGATATTTAGAAAACATTAAAATAATATTCAATTAAAGAAAGAACTTTTGAAAATTTCAAAATTAAAAATTCTACACTTTAGCTACATCTTAATCTACTTTTTATTACCAATTAAATATTTTTTCTTTAAATATTTTTCTTTGGATTTATATTTATTTATATTTAACATGTGTTTATAAACCATGCAATGTACAGGATGCTTGCCAGAAATCTTACAAAATAATAACATTTGATAATTGAGCAGAAGAAAATGACAATCGTGGAACTATAAATACAAAGTACCGAGTAAGCAAATTCAAAAAGTCAAACCTTCTTGGATTTCTCTTCCTTCTCAAAAGCCTCTTTTCGCTTATCCTTATCAGACCCCTGGGAATGAAGATAAAAATTGTCAAAAGATAATAGCAGGTATTATCAAAACATTATAAGCAACATGTAATTATAAAGGCAGAAGTTCGTCAAAATGTTCTCACCAGTTTAATGAAGATGTCATGATTGTCTTTCTTGCTTGATAAGGGTTGCATGGATTCAAACTCTTTAATGTCTACCTTTCTTTCTTCAGTCTTAAGTGTCTGCAAGGCCTTCCTTTTCTCTTCCAGCAGTTTCTCATATTCTTCCAGAGTCATCTCCTAACAAAAGAACAGAACAACAGCCTGCTGATTAATAAAATTACAAATACAGAACACTAAAATCACATGAACTATGATATAGATCTTCTAAGGAAAAAGGAGCACTTTAGAGAGTAGACTGCAAGTAGTAACAATCAATGAGAAAATCCAGAGTCCGTGGTAAAAAGACCATAATTTGTTAAGAATGAACCTATATAAAGTTGACAATTTCATCAAATGATACCAACTTTGCGCATTTTTTCAGGTTCTACGAAAGTCCTACTGCACCCAAGGAGAACAGGGAAATGCAATGTATGAGATCAGAGTTCAGACCATTATGAAATAGCAACATCCCCCTAGTAAGCATTAAGCATAAGTGCAGATAGCACAGCTATGCAATGTACTTACTCAGAATCAATACATAGAAGAGCTTTCAGACACTTGCAAAGTTCAGCAATAGTGGACACAATTCATAACCAAGGAAAAGATACAAAGTCATACTAAATAGTGAATGACCAAATCAAGTTCAAATTCTGACAATGCATACAACAACAATAACAACTTCCTACTAGATGAAGTCAGCTACATGGAAACCATTGAACAAAAAAAAAATAATCATGATCAAGCAAAAAAAAGTAGTTCAATCAATTTGGTGAGATGCACTTAGTAGACAATCCAAGATTTAACTTGATTTATTAATAATGTATAAGCACACATCTTCTGTTGGTATGTTAACTACTATTGGCTTGACTTTCACCTTATCTTCAGGCTCTTTTTCTTCAGTTTCATTGGCAGGACTCTCCTTGTTTCCATCAGCTACATCTTCTTCGGCCACAGGCTTCTCATCACCCAAATTCTTTTCAGTTTCATTCACAACTTCATCAGTTGCCCTAATATGAATTAGAAGGAAAAGAAAATATAAATGATAGTAATAATTATATACAAAGAATTTCCCTTGAAACAACTTAAGCATTATCACTGAGAAAATGATAGAATACTGAGTTGCAGAAAGAATGCTTACTGAGCAATTTCATCAGTTTGTGTTCCCCAGTTACCACGTCCAGCACCTTCACGCTTAAATTCCACTCTGCAGATAGACCAAGGGACATCAATATTTACAGAAACTGAAATTCAAAAAGAAATCATTCATCAGTGAAAACATCACCCTCTTCCAGTCCCACTGCGACGATCAAATGCTCTTCGAGGTCGTCCTTCATCCCCAGCATCACCATTGCTGAAACCTCCACGACGACCACCACCACGATAGGGACCTCGTGGTCCACCATAACCCCCGCGTCTTTCTGAAGCCTTCCCAGCATCTCCTTCTTCAAAAGGACCCTGATTATCGGAACCTCCAGTGGCAGGGAATGAGTTCTCTTCATTGGAAGAGTCGCGACTAAAACCACGACCACGCCCATATCCACGTCCGCTGCCTCGTCCACCTCCTCGGCCTCCCCGAGATGGCTCATTTCTAGCCTCCCTCACTAACAATAAGATACAAGCAGAAAGTGTGAATGCACGTAAAAACAGGATCGGCATAGAACAAATGCCACCATAAACTAGACTGACAAAAAAATACACACAAATCTTCTAATTCTAGTGATACATACCCAAATTACAAATAAGAAAAAGAGATCAATAGGCAAATGCATAATCGAATCGACTCACAAACTATGGCAGAATGTGTTTTGAACTTGAAAACTTCTATCAAGCTACACCTCCACAACTTTAGAAGAAAAATCCCACCCATTATGCATAAAAAATCCATAACCCGGTACGAAAACTTAGACAAGATTGTTACCACTTAAAATTAGTTCCTTTCATAAGCAAAACCAATATTATACACAGCGTACACTAAAATAAAACATTAATAATGCATATATGTAACAAACAGGGACAAAAATGAAATCATAATCAACTGCATGTGTAGACACCGAAGATACAAGATTTCCAATAATCACACTCACAACAACGACAACAAAAAATAAAGCTAACTAAACACAGTCATGGAACCAAGGAACCCAAAAGTATTACATGACCTACCAAAAACATCTATATAAGCAGTAGCACACAACAAAATAACTTCATCTAGTGCAACAATAGAACATAAACAAATCGTAAAGGCGAGATTTTTCAAGAGAATATCACCAAGTAAATTCGATTCATATCGCCTCAACCCCCCACAAACAAAAAAGTCAGATAAAAATATAAAAAATAAAAAACTTGAAGAGTTGAGAGGCTCACCAGCCTGAGCCGGCGGAGGCGGCTTGGAAGGCAACTGAGCCGGCTTGTTGGGCTGAGTCTGAGCGGCTCGCTGCTGCGGCTGAGCCTTTTTGGGAGCCGCGGCTGCAGCTGAGGCTGCCTTGAGCTGTTCAGCTGCGATGAGCTGAGAAGGGTCTTCAGCATCATCACCCAACAAATCAAAAGGGTTCATAGTTGCCATTTTCAAAAGCAAATTCCCACAAAGCCTAAACCCAATCGCACTTTTCCAAAGACAAAGGTCTCTACCAACCCTTTCACACTAAACCCGCAACGTCTCCATCACTACACAAACTCAGACACATACACGAATCCACAGATCAGAGAGAAAGAGGTGAAGGGATATGGAGAGTGAAAAACCCTAGCCGCAATAGGAGAGAGAAAGAGAGAGTGTGTGTGAGTGTGTGAAAGAGAATACAATTGACACAGCAACCTAATCTTATGTCTATTTTATTTGGGACCTCGAATGTGCTGTCTGCTGTTGCTTCTTGCTTTACAGGAGATTATTTTTTTAATTATTTTATATTTAAGGTTTAATTTTTGATATAATAATTGTTGACAAAAAAAATTATACATTTCGATTATTTGGGTTTATAAATTCTTTTACTTGTAAGAAAATTTACGTGTTTTCTGAAAAATATTATTTTATTTCTAAATTTTAAAAAAATGTGTAACTTTAACGTGAGTGAAAAATTGTAGAAGAGAAGTTTTTTTTCAATTTTTTATCATAATAATTAATAGTATTTTTTAAACATATATCTTAAAATATTAAAAAATAATATATATTAATTTTTATAAAAATTATAGAATCTAATGCATTAAAAATCATATAATGGTATTAAATGTCATAATTTATAATAAAATCGTATTACTTATTAATTTTTATTATATATTATTTAAAATGTCAATTAATAAAAAATATATTGTAGATATAAATTTCGAATTAGTTAAAATCATTTTAAATCTTTCTATTTTTATGCCTATAATTCTTTTAACTATTAAATTGAGAAAATATTAAATAATTTTTTATATTTTTTAAATAATAAATACATGTATTGTTTGATTAAATAGATATTTTATAATGAAGGAGATTAATTATTAAAAATATTTTTATGATGATAAAGAAATTTAATTACTTATTATAAAAGTCAATAATTTTTAAATGTTAATTTATGAATAACTAATAATTGATAATATAAAAATATTTTATATTATAAGTATATTTTAATTAATTGTAACATTTAACTTAAGAATTCTTTATAGGATTTTGTTAAGAATGCACTTGGTAAAAAGTTAGATATATATATATATATATATATATATATATATATATTCAAAATTATGTTAAAATACATACAAAATTAAAATTATTTGTACTATTTTTTGGGAAAACTAAAATGCACAAAACTTATAGCAATTTCATAGTTAAAATATATTAAAAACTATGCAATATATATATATATATATATATATATATATATATATATATATATATATGTGTGTGTGTGTGTATTTGTTTGAAGTTAATGATGAATTTGTCTATGACAAGTGTTGACTCTCCCTTTTAGATGTGTTTGAAAAACAATATGAGGAACATTTTAGTTATTGAGAGATGTCATTATATAGAAAATTGTAATAATAAAAAAAAATAATCATATACATTTCATTTGTCTTTGTTGACCCTTTTGTATGACATGATACATACATATAGTATATGCTTAAATCAATCCATGTGTCAAGCATGCGTCAATCCATATATAATTACATATCAAGATTGAAGTATTTTAAATGCTCATTTTATATATTTTCTGTTGTTTCTTAATCTTGGACAAATGATTTTATTTCATCTACTTGTAATACTAGGATGTTTTAGATAAATCTATGCTATTATAAATAAATGTCATTTGCTAGATTGTACCTTATAATGTTAGGTTCTATTCATTGCATATTGTAGTGCGAGAGCTCATCTTTCCAAATTGTTAAACACATTTAACATATTAGTATCACTATTTGAACTTGTAACTTTAAAAACCACATGTCAAGTTCATAAACCTTGTAACATTATTAATTCAAACATTATTGTGAATTAACATGATTACTTCAACAAAATTAGACAACCAATTTTGATACACACAATTAAGGCCTTTTATACTTGAAAAATTTGCAATAGATGTTCAACATTTATTTAAAAATGAATTTGAATCCTTTCATGTTAGTAAGGAATGTAATATGATCATGTTAAACAGAAAAAGTCTTTTTTTTTAATCAAATAAAGACCTACTTTGATTCGTTGTAGATCCCATTAATTAAAATTGATAACAATTTTGTCCCTTTTTTTCTCTAACATAACCATGTTACATTACTTAACAAGGATTCTAATTTGATAAAAATATTCATCATGATTTTCAAAGACCAGCATACTATAGGAATACATGTGTCTTTACAAAGGATTATCGTTGTCTTTGGCTTTCAAGTAGCAATCCCATGAATTATTCTTCTATGTTGTTGTCAATTACCTCCTCCATAATATGCTACTTGAGTTTTTAACTTTAAGTTGGATCAAGAGGATCAAATTGAAATGTTAAAGATTTGGCACAAATTTTGAATTCTCAGTTTGATTTAGTTTAGTTATTGGTTCAGTTTTAAGAATCAAATTTTAGATTACGTTTGATTTTGGCTTCAATTTTGAGTTACAATTTATAGATTCGCGTGGTTGATTTAGTTGAAATTTTTATGAGTTACAATTTATAGATTCTTGTGGTTAATTTGGTTGAAATTTGTATTCTCTATTTTGCAAGTTGAACTCTTTCTAGATACATGCTTAAAGTTGATTGATAACACCCTCTATTCAAAATCTGTAACTCAATTTACCTTGCTTAATTATAGTATAAAAGCACTATAGCTTTCCCCCTTATAAGAAAGTGCTTTGGCTCAAAACAGTTACACAGTAGACGACAGTGATGAAGGTAACATATTAAAAAATACAGCATAATAGAGAACCCATCAGCATTTGTCACCCAATTCAAAAACCTTTAACAAAAATTTTTGTTTTTTCATTTTTCTTTCGGTCGTAACATATAATTCATTTAGATTAGGAAAACTCTAACTAAGGTTGTCAGCAGTTTATTTTCAAAGCAAAATCATTGGTTGACTCTCAAATTTCGGGTATTGAATGAGTGGAGAAAGAGAAATATATAAGCAAAATAAGTGAAAGATGTGGATTTTTTTTATATATGATATTTAAAATTAATATATACTAGAATATGATATTTTAAAAGAAATTATAAAAATATAAAGTTTAAAAATCACGATTTTTGGTTTAGAGATTTAGAAATAGAACAAGTAAAGTTAAAATCTCTCAAAATTTGTTAATGAAATTTTTTTAAAAAAAATTAAAAAATCAAAATTTACTAATGAAGGTTTTTAAAAAATAAAAATAAAAATATAAAAATTATCAATAACGATTTTTTTAAAAGTATAAAGAGTCATTGACGATTTTTGAAAAATTCTTATATACTTATAGTTTTCTTTAAAATACCATATTTTTATATAAAAAAGGCAAAAAAATGTAAGTATTAATTTTCAAATAATTACCTTGTGAAGTTGTGAACAATGATCACTCATTTACGTGGAAAGATTTTGTGCTATGAAAATTTGACAACACTTTTTCTGGGTAGCAGTCAACAAGAGCTGGCTATGGGATCAACACGCCGAATAAGCCCAACAACTCATACAAAGCCCAAGTCCTGTGAAGTGATACAGGATAGCCGCTATGCAAATTGACGTTACCTTCATTTAATTCTGACCCCAAAAAAATATGGTAAATTCTATACTTTTATGTACGTAAAATAATTATAATCATTAATTTTAGTAATATAATTAATAGTGTATTTAAAAAAGATATAAATATCTTTTAATATTTTAATCTAATCTAGAGAAAATATTTAATGTTTCTTTAAATTTAGAAATACTGTAGCAAATACAAAAAAAAATCATAAATTTCTTTAAAATGTCTTCTTATGTAGCTTTAATCATTTTTTTTAAATCAAATGTTTTCTTTTTTCAATTTAGCTGGATAGAATGAAAAGAGGTAGTCAATGCAATCTACTTGAGAACGGCCTGCATGATCAAAAAATTAACTTTTTACTGCTACACAGTGCACATAAATATTTTCAAAATTAAAATAATTTGCTTCTCTAATTTCTAAATATCAATTATATATTTATTCAATTCTCAAAACTCATAATTTCAGTTAAGTTTCTTCTACTTTAGAAGCCTAGTGCTCACAATGGTGATTATGTATAGTAACTCATTTTATATAATTTGAATCCTTAACCTTAATATTTAGAGATTTTTTTTCTAACCCTTTTGAATGTTCCAATAATTTATCACATTGACCTTATCTTATTCATAGAATGTGAAGTTTGGATAGTAAAATAAAGATTTAAATCCTCTTAAATTTATGCGAGAACTATATAGTAAGTTCCCTTTTCACAGCAAAAATTACTTGAAAGTGAAACTTGGATAAGATAGTAAGAAGGTTTGGTGGCAAGAGTTTGATGTCACCCCACTCCAATTAACTCAATTATACAAATTTCACTTTTCAGAGTCTTAGCCTTCAAACTCAAACTCAATTACTCTCCCTAGTGGGTATGGCTGCAAGCCCACTAATCATGGCCCCTCCATCACCCACCATAGAAATTAACAAGGGCAGAAAGTGCTACTGTGTTTCTTATATGAATTTCTATTATGGAAACCGATTAATCTTGTAATAGTTAATTATTGAAAATTAATTATACATTTGAAAGTTGTTTAACCTCATTATTCCTCAAGTTTGCAGATGGTATACTATTTTTTATATTGAATTTAATATCAAAGGTTTCAGATATTTTATTTAATGCCATGTCCCTCCATGCGACGGTAAAAATATGGGAATCTATAGTAAGCCAACTACTCTTTAATACTTGTCCTTATATTTGAATAAATAAATTGTATCGCAATTGTTTTTCTTTTTTTTAAAATATTATCAAAATATCTCAAACTATCTGAAGTTACACATACGCTTTTAATTTTTAGTAACCTATTTCACACGCAGAAAGAGTCGAGAAGACTCTAAGCTTAAAATTTAAATTTTAGATATTTATATCACTTAATTTTTTATATTCTATAAAATTAATCAATCTACTATCTTATATTAGTTTTATAATTATACATATATATAAATATATATATATATATAATTTTACATAGTTTAAATATTTATAAAAAAATACTGACAACACACTCTCTAACAAAATATAAAAAAATATTAATTTAAAAATGAAAAAAAAGTGCAACTTTCATAATTTTAGTAGTTTTCAATAAATTTTAACTAACAGTAAAAGATGTATTACAAAAATATATGTTAGAAAGAGTGTTACTAGAATTATTCATTTTATAAAGTTAATTTGTTTAATAAGAATTTTTAA